AAAAAAAAAAAAAAAAAAAAAAAAAAAAAAAAAAAAAAAAAAAAAAAAAAAACACTGACTAACCTTCGCTCTTAAAGTCTCGATATCAGCTTTCAAAATTCTATTGTCAACAGCTGCATCATCGTACTTTTGATTGACATCCGTGAGACACTTTAACAAAGTAGAGTGATCAACCCTAAGTTGACCAACCTTTAGAAAAGGAACCACATTTAGAAAAAGTTTTAATAAGAAAAATACCCGACAACATATGGAGGGTAAGCACTTTACAGTACCTGGGTCTCAAGGTCATTCAAGTGTGCTTGTTTTCTTCGTCTGGAGCGTCTTGCTGATTCTCTATTTGACAACATCCTAGGCCACCATCAATGTCAAGTGAGTAAAGCTAGGACCGGGTAACAAATTGAGTTGAAGGATTGATATTTCGCTTAGGACCATCTTCCTTTCTCTACTTTATTTATTTACTGATTAGAAACCATAACTCTTTCATTAAGATATGAATATTTACTAAACAAGTAAAAGGACAGAATGGAAGATGAGATATCCTCCTAACCCAAAAACCAATAGAGATCACAAAAACACTCTTCAAGAAGCAATAAGAGTGGATTCTTGTTTTTAAATGCAAAAGTAAATTGAAACATGCTCAACATATGTCTACTCCAAAAAATTACAGAATTGTTTTGGTAAGTGATATTTTTCCAGCACATTCGTTTGGAAGAAGAAACTTCAACTTTTTTCTCTTTCACAAAGGTACAAGGCTATTATGGAGGGGATTTGACAGAAGACACAAGTTAGATCAACAAGTTCTGTACATGACGAACTTACATCATCAAGGATACAACAGCAATACCTTCTCTAAGAATTATAAAGGGTGAAAAACATAATAGAAGAGCAAAAGAGGGAAACAATAATCCGAGTGTGATCATATGTCGATGCTTGAGTCATATTCTCAATCAATACAAATGTGAACAACTGCATAACAAAGGATTAACAATTTGACACAAGCAAGAGCCAGAACAATAAATCAAATTTACCTCCTAGCGCGTCTTGCATCGGAAGGATGCATATTCTCACTGTTTTCAATGTCTCCTTCAAGATCATCATCATCAGACTCATCTCTGGACGATCCACTTGTTGTTTGGGCAGTTTGTAGCCCTTGTTTCTTAGGCATTGCAGGTAAGGATGGGATCCCAAGTGGACTACCATTAGCGTCACTTTCTTTTGTTGAAGTGCCACGATCAGAGCCTAGAGCCACTATAGAGAAAAGGTAAAATTGCAGTAATAGCATACAATGCCAAAGGAAAAAAGAGTTAGATCGGACGCGATACATCAAGCAAAGAGTTCTAACTAATAAAATATAAGATACCCTAAAATATATTGACTATTGTCTTAAGAAAGTTCTTTTCCTTTTCTTTCCTTTTTCTTTTTCTGTTTTATTTTTATAGATGCCGAACTTACATTGAGAATAGTGAAAGAATACAAAGGAGGCTTACAAAAACCACCGCCCAACAATGGGGCCAAAACAACACCTAAAGACCTAAAAAGATAAAAGAAAAAAGGACTCCAAATAATGAGAAACTGAGAGGATCATTACAAAATCCTTTAACATACCAGGAGATGCAAAGAATAATCAAACTGGCATACCAAGAGATGAACAGCATCAATATCAGACAAAGATTTATAAAACTAACGAAAAGTGTCAAGGCATTCAATAGTACCAGAGTGTTCAAAGGGTTTGGCTACTAAAGAAATTACACCACCCTCGGCCAAGAACAATGTACCAACGTTCCCCACAAGAGAAAACAGGAAAACAACATTAAGAAATTTCCATACTTTTGTAAAAAAAAAATTGACTTCACGTACTAGATTTTCTCATATACGAGAGGTTGTTCAATACTTCTACCTACACCAAACGGAAAACGCCCAACGAAAGCCATAGAAGCTATAACTAGATAATGACCCAATGAGCTTAACGACGAATAATGAATATAATAAAATTCGTAGACTGCCTGACCGGAAGCTACCTTGCCCCGGAGCTTGCAAGCCAAATTGAAAACCACTCGACGTTTGCCCACGGTGTTCAGCTGGCTGGACTGGACCTTTGGGTTCCGACGACGAGGCCTGCAATCCCGAACACAAAAATGGCTAAAACAAGTTCACTTTGAAAAGAAACAGATGAAGTTCCTCAATTTCACTTCAACACACAATTAAGAGTGCAGCATTTCAAATCCCAAATTCATCAAAGTACAGTACAACAATCAGTTTCAAAAGATAGAGAAATGATCACCCTCGAGCGAGCCACAGCAGCGCAAGCCATATCAAGCTGATTCTTCAAAAACATACGGTACCGATCAGAATCACTTCGAACCATTTTTGACGGATCCAAAGACGGAATAGGCTGAGACCGATCATGATCACAATCCGCCTTCTTGATCTCCACAATCTCATCATCTTCATCACGCTTCGAAGTCGAAGACTGAGAAGCAGGAGATGCCACATCCACAGGAGAAACCGTCACGCGATTGGAGGTAGTGGAAGGATAACTATTCACAGGGAACGACGAAACTTCCTCGAGAAACCTCTCCAACGCCCACTCGGACAAGCTTCCGTTCATCGCCAAGGAAGGTTCGGGAGATCGGAAAGGAGAATGAGATGGCGGCGAAGACGACGGCGGTGGCGGCGACGACCAGAAGGAACTATCCAAGAGGTCTTCCGATGAGAAGAAAGTGTGCATCGTCGTCGTTGATCCTCAGAGTCCGACTTGTTTTGTTTTCCTCGTTTCGTACGCGCGTTTTCAATGTGTACGACATTTAAGCGGGTTGGGGGCATAATCCGCTGCTTTAGGGACCACCATACTCTACCAATAAAAAACTTCCACGTGTAGCATAAAATCCTCTCTTTTTGTACGGATTATCTAGTTTCTACCTACTTTGAGGGCAAGATTTTGGTTTGGCTAGGGTTGTCTTTTATGATAATTGGAGAACAATCCTATGAGGACAATAATCTCGGCCTCCGCTCATCGACCCGAGTTCAATATAGATACATATAAACGTCATTGCTTCTGACTATTTGCTCGCTATCGATAGTAAATTTTGTAAATAAAGCATAAAAGCCAATCTCATGATTCACTTCTCGAGCACCAAGTGACACATAAGACCAAACGTGGATGATAACGTTATCGACCAAACTTCTATACAATAGACCAACGAGTTAGACTAATTAACTTGATGGGATATTTTAAAATTTTCTTACCCTAGTTGAAGTTCTTGTCAAATCTCGTACTAGTCTACTATAGTAGTGTCTCATCCGAGCCCACAATCTTTTTCTTCATTGCTCTCGGGCAAATATCAATTCTCAATTATAAATTTTTTTCTTCGACATCATTATGTCACATCAGGATGTAAATTTTAGTATCTATCGTGAGATTCCACAACAGTTGGAGAATGGAACGAAACATTGAGTGTGTGGAAATCTCTCTCTAGTATATGCGTTTTAAAAACTTTGAGGGAAAATCGGCTAGCAGTGAGCTTAGGCGGTTACATTTACCCTTTTAATATGCATCACTTTCATTCATATAGGTTCACACATATGTACTTAAAGCTTTAAATATCATGACTTTTATGAAATATATGCATGAGGTTCGACGATTTTTAATTTTCATATATTCATGCATGACTCCAGAAAACGTCATACAATCATCATAAATTTCTCAACCTAGCACTAAGATGTTCTAATTGTGAGCAGACGACAATCCACCATCAAGCTCGTGGTTGTCGTCGATCTTAAGGAGTGCCAAAAGCCGAAGATCCTTGTCATTGCCCATTGCCTTTGCACGCAGTCGCATGATCAGATGGGTGCAGGAGCTCACATGGATAAGAATGGTTGGATGCTCGTAGGAAAAACATATCGGGTCCACAAGAAAGAGAAAGGGACGACCAATTGCGTACCATGAGGATAGACCAAGTGCAAGTGAAAGCAAAATCAAGCATAAAAGATTTTTTTTTGACCATATAGTCTGAGATATTGTAAGATCTCACATCGGTTAAGGAGGATAGTGAAACATTCTTTATAAGAATGTGAAAACATCTTCCTAACAGACATGTTTAAAACTATGAGACTGACGTGTGGATACGTACGAACAATATCTACTACGGGCGGATTTAGGCTGTTACAAATGGTATTAGAGCCAGCAAGGACGCCGGGCCACCAAGGGAGTGGATTGTAAGATCTCATATAGGTTGGAGAGGAGAACGAAACATTCCTTATAAGGGTGTGGAAATCTCTCCCTTACAAACGCATTTTAAAACTGCGAAGCTAACGACGATATGTAACAGATCCATATATTCAGACTAGTTGAACCCAAACTATATACGTACAAAACGAAACTACCCACATATTGAAATTCGTTGAACAAAACAAAAAAAAAAAAAAACAATTCCCAAACATTACTTTTAATTATTTTTTTTATAAGAAAAAACAGTTTTATATTCTCTGTCTCTATCGGTTCTTCATGCGAAAAAACAAACAAACTAAACAAAAACGGGTTTTCTTTCTCATACTAAGCTCACAAAATTACCTCTCATTCGCCTTTCACTCGGTTTCTTTGCCTCGTAAACGAACCAAAAACAACAACAATCTTCCAAAATCGAAGCTCACGAGCGGGACTAAAGAGTTAGAACGTAAAACTTTATCTCTCTCAGTGAAAATTTCTACCTACTGAGGGGAATGAAGCCTGGTCCGATATCATTTCAACAGAACGACATGAGCGATGAGATCAGTCAAGTTTCACGTGGATGACATCGAGCCAAACAACATTCCCCTCAACAAACAGTAGAGCGAGAGAGAGAGAGAGAATCTAGAAATAAGAGAGTAGAGAGAGAAAATAAGCCATGCATTTGGAGAATTAGGCATGGAGGTACCCTTCTATACATATAGACGTAAAGGAGAGACGAGAGAAGATTCTCTTTTGGGGTCACATGAGCAGCAAAATGCTACCACTTTTTTGCATATTGCACACATCAAGACATATGGGCTTTTGAGTTTTTGTACGTTTCTTTCTTTACTCTTTTTTTTTTCTTACTTTTTATCATCGTTCATACAACTTTATATTCGTGTTAAAAAAGCATTTAGAGTTCAAAAATTTAGGGTTTAAACACTTCGAGATCTATTAGACACAAAATTAAAAGTTGGGTTCTTTTCGACTTATGTAAATCTTTTAAGTGGTTGTTTGATCAAAAGCGTGTTCTTCAGGTCTTTCTTGTTCGTTTTGATTCTTTTTATATTCCACTCTGTTAAAGTCAACTATATTAATATAGCTTTTATTATACTTTGAATTATTTGCAAATTATTATGATGCTCCTCTTCAGATTAGTTGGAGCATATATCTTAGTGGTTAAGGAATATCTATCTTTTTCAAAAGAGCATGAATCTTCATCATGAAATAGTTACATTTTAAAAGCGATATCTAGACCCAAACAACTTAAACACGCCTAATTAACCTAGACATTTTGTTGTTTATATAAGTCAAAGGTTGAGTGTAAAATATTGCACTTTGACATTTTTCTACCTCGATTGAGGTGGAGTCAATGTCTAGTTTAGGTTCGTATGATTTTTTTTTTTTTGTAGTAGCAAATGCATATAGTATCAGAGCCAGACACCAGCCATATGTCAGTGAGGATGTTGGACTTTGAAAAGGGATGGATTGTAAGATCCCATATCAAAGCCAGACACCAGACAATATGTCAGTGAGGATGTTGGGCTTCGAAAAGGGATGAATTGTAAGATCCCACATCGATTGGAGAGAGAAACGAGTGTCAACAAGGATGCTAAACCTCGAAAGGGGTGAATTGTGAGATTTCACATCGATTGAAGAGAGGAACGAGTGTCAGCAAGAACGCAGGGCCCTAAAGGAAACCTCTCCCTGGCATACACGTTTTAAAAACTTTGAAGAAAAGTGCAAAACAAAAAGGACAATATCTACTAGCAGTAAGGTTGGGCTATTACATTTTCGTTAAAAACACATATATGAAACAAAGATGCATTATATGAACGAATAAGTTATTGATTTGTTTTATTCGTGGGTATCGAAGTAAAGGAAGTAGGTAATGTTTGGCACTTGAGAAAAAGAAAAAGTGGGGGAAGTGGAGAACCTTCATCAAATGATGGGTAGCATATGCATACACAATTGGATGCCAAGCTTATATTCCAAGCTTTCAAACACACAAGCTCAAGAACTATAAATATGGTAAAGCTATTTTGCAGGGACCAATGGCACACACAAAAAGAAGTTAAAAAAAGTAAAGTGGAATGTAAAGTTCTATGAGTGACATGTTTTATGATTTGAAATGGACTTTGTTTTCTCAAACATATCTATCACTTTTCTTTCTTCTTTTCAGTAAGATTTTCTTAATGCTTTTCTTTAGCACGGTTGAGCGTGAATGTAAAGATTTTGTGACAAAAATTAAAAACAGATGCTAAAGTACGAATTATGAATTGAATTAAGTAAGCATTGAATATATATATATAATCAATGACTTGAAAAGATTAGACAACTCTACGTTATATGACAAACAAGCGAATGATTATTGAAATGAAAGTAAAGATCAAATAAAGTATGTGATAGGATAATACCGAAAACAATACCTCAACTAAAGTGAATAGGCATGAATGAAGATCATACATCCACCAAAGCCAAGAAGTCATGCTATGATAGGTCAAATCTTATGTTGAGTTTAACTCAAACGATTGATGAGGAGATGCGTCATCATGAGCCAAACGAACTTGAATAATCACCGATATGAAAAGTTTTCACATACTCCTATTAATCGATTATCACATCAACATCTTTTTAAAATAGGATAGGACGTACGAGCATTAAATAATTACTTTTTTCCAAAGAACACTTGACTTTAAAAATTAACAAAGTCGTGAACCTTAATGCTAAGTGCAGACAAGATTTATGAATTATGAATAGAGGTACATAGATGAACTTAGACCATATCCAAATGAGAGTCATCCTAAAAATAGAATGACTAAAAGAAATTTAAAAGAATGGAATGTTGAGTTAGTAAAATCTAAATTCAAATCCTAATCCATATTCTAGACATGGGTCGTTACAACTGAGTAAAACCCGTCTTTACGTGCTCACTTTAGCTCCAACATGGTAAGTCGACTATTAAGTTCCTAAGTAGACATGTGATCGAGTTTCGATAGTCATGTAAGGATCCTATTCAAAAATAAACTCCAAGCCGATCTCTTCATTTCACTGTTCAAAGAACTTTAGTTACTACTTTTAATGTTCACTCACATGGTGGCTTCCTTGTATTTTCTATGACAAAAAAATCCTGAGAGTTATATATGAGAAGCTTTTGTTCTTTCAATTATGATATCAGCAAGTTTATCTCTTTGTCCTGCAATGAGAAAGCAAGAATCAAAGTGCTTTTGGAGTACTTTGACAGTAATGTTAAACAAAACACTAATGAGAAAAGGTACCATTTATAATCTAAATGGCTATCTATTTCAAACTCTCAGAGACAATTTTAGTATGCAATCATACAGATTTTGAATGGTTTTAGTACCCAACAAAACAATCTCCTGCACCTGCACCTGCGGTTGAGCCCAATTTCTATGACAGGGAAAAAAGTGTTAAAAGAAGACAAATTTGAGTATGATGAATTACCTTTAACAAAAGCTTCGAGTCATCGAACATATCTATTCAAACAAGTCGAATAAACAGCTTTAAGAACAGAAACGATTTCATTGATGAATGATGAACGAAGTGACGGAGTAAAAAACTCCCAAACCTAAAAGAATTCACAAGAAAGTTCTCCAATTTGAAATGGAAAAAGGGTATTTATATTTACACAAATGCACAGTCCCAAAGAAAATTGGTTTTAGAGCCATCCACACTGTTTATAAATCATTCAAACTAAGAACTTGTTTAAGAACGCATACAACTAGTTCAAGACAACAGCAAATTTGATTACATTCCGACCTAATGATAACATTAAAGAAGAAAAAAAAAAAAAGACTTACATCTTCGTATGCCGAAAAGAAGAGATTGTTTGAAGCCAAAGAATGCCTCCTGTTAATCCCACAGCAGTTCTTGGCTGCTAGAAGAAGATTCCACAAACAATCATCTATGAATCTAATTCATCATCAAACTTGTTTTTTACCTTTCATAGAAACGTAACTGTAACTAAAAGTTAATTCTAAGACGTCAATTTTCTTTCATATTGTGCATGTTCTAGCATAGGCAGCAATCTAGACAGCATCTTATGCAACACAACGTAATTTACCGGTCGGTTGTCTCCATTGACATCTGATTTTGACATTATTGTTATCTCTTGAGAATCCAAATTTTCACTGAACAGTTCATTCCAAAAGTCATTGTCTTCGTTGATATTTGCTTTCATCATAAGTTCTAATACTTTTTCCAAGGTTGCAACACTCCTACCAGCACCACAACCCATGGCTGTAGCAGCACCCACAGCATTCGCAATTGTTAGTGTGTCCAAGGTTGGCAAATTGTGTATATAACCATAGGCAATTGCTGCTACGAAGCTATCTCCACATCCAACAGTGTCAACAACATTCACCTTATTCACAAGTAGATAAGCTACATTTAGCAGTTATAGCACGCACTAGGTGAAAAAAACTTTCAAGAATGCAAATAAATATATTTTTTTTATAGGAAACATAAACCATTTCATCGATCGATGTATGAAACAGATACAAAAGGAAATCCAATCAGAGATAATTACGAATGGAAAAAAATGAATCCAAGTTAGAGCAAGATAATTACAAAGACATTCCAATCTAAACTGATGGCATCAGTAGAATAATTAGGAAACAACCTATGTTGAGCACTTCGTTGAGGCCGTAAACGGTACAAAACCACAAAAAAGAACAATAACAAGTACAAAACCCCATCAGGGTAGAAGTTAGAAACATTTTTAGGCTAGTAAAGGTGTGATATTCATTAGCGATGGAGTATG